GTCTATATATATATATGTGTGAGGAGAGAGAGAATGTACACACACATTCTACCTTGTATATATTTCATTGGATTCTGCTTCCTACACCTTTTGGATGTTACTTATTTTTTTAGATTGTTAGCTCCCTGGGAGGGCATGGACTGTATTTTCCTATGTGTCAAAATAATGTCTAGCTCAATAGATTGTAATCCTCATGGGCTGCAACTGCAACATACACCAATACATCATGTACACTGTAGGCCAAAGTGTGCCCCTAGTCACAACTTTGCAACTCCCCAGTGTCATCAATGAAGTTAAATGGTTGTGAGGGCAGAATTTGCCTACTTTACCTGAGAGAAGCAAGTAAGATGCTCTACTTGGAGTGCAACAGTAGTAACAATAACCTAAAATTATAAATCAAGTTTTATAATTAGAATAAAAGATATCAGTGACCTCTCAGTTGATTATGAAACATATGCATGAAACATGATTTTGCTGAGGAGAAAGCCTATGGATCAGGTTGATGAATGCCTCTATTTCACTATTACTTATATAGAAAGCATTAAAGCAAAAGGAATCTTTCAAAGAGTTGGGAATGTACCACTCAAAGGCAGAATTGCCACTCCAAGGATGTTTTGTATTCAGGACAAATGGCAGCAAATTTTCAAAGTCATCTGAGCATGGCCTTTATTTTTGCACAACCCAAACTGGGTAAAATTGGGAAATTTTAATCATGTACATTTTTGCATACAGGCAGTCCCCGGGTTACGTACAAGATAGGGACTGTAGGTTTGTTCTTAAGTGGAATCTGTATGTAAGTCGGAACTGGCGTCAGCCGCTGCTGAAACTGATCAGCAGCTGATTCCAGGAACCCTGGGGCAGAGCAACTCTGCCTCGGGCTTCCTGTAGTCAGCCGCTGGTCAGTTTCAGCAGCGGCTCAATCAGGACGCCTGGGGCAGAGCAGCTGGGGTGCTGCTGGGTTGCTCCAGTAGCGCGGCTCCTCAGCGCTACTGGAGCAACCCAGCAGCACCCCAGCTGCTCTACCCCAGGGGTAGGCAAGAAAAGCCTGGTCTGCTGGGGAGAAGGGGGGGTGCAGCTAGTGCCTCCCCCCCCAGCAGACCAGGGAGACGGGGGTGGCGGGACCGCCCAAGTCCTCCATGGCTTTGCTCCGTCTCCCTGGTCTGCTGACCTGGGAGACGCGGAGCAAAGCCGTGGAGCACGCCTGCAGCGGGACAGCCCAGGCGCGCTTGGGCTGTCCCGCTGCAGGCGTGCTCCGCGGCTTTGCTCTCCGTCTACCTGGTCTGCAGGGAGACGGGGAGCAAAGCCTTGGAGCACGCCCGCAGCGGGACAGCCCAGGCGCGCTTGGGCTGTCCCGCTGCAGGCGTGCTCCGCGGCTTTGCTCTCCGTCTACCTGGTCTGCAGGGAGACGGGGAGCAAAGCCTTGGAGCACGCCCGCAGCGGGACAGCCCAGGCGCGCTTGGGCTGTCCCGCTGCAGGCGTGCTCCGCGGCTTTGCTCTCCGTCTACCTGGTCTGCAGGGAGACGGGGAGCAAAGCCTTGGAGCACGCCCGCAGCGGGACAGCCCAGGCGCGCTTGGGCTGTCCCGCTGCAGGCGTGCTCCGCGGCTTTGCTCTCCGTCTACCTGGTCTGCAGGGAGACGGGGAGCAAAGCCTTGGAGCACGCCCGCAGCGGGACAGCCCAGGCGCGCTTGGGCTGTCCCGCTGCAGGCGTGCTCCGCGGCTTTGCTCCGCGTCTCCCAGGTCAGCAGACCAGGGAGACCGGGAGAAGCTTTTCTCGCCCCGGAGGACACGGGTGGCGACCCGCCGCTCGTGAGCTCCGGGACGAGAAAAGCCCCGTTTGTAAGTTTGTAAGTCGGGGACTGCCTGTATTTTAAAACCTGGACCTACATGCAAATGAGCTGCTATGGTGAGTTCTGGGGTGCATAAGAAGTAGGCAACCCAAACTTCCATGACCAAAAATTTGAGCATGCAAATTCATCAGCTGAAATGAAGAAGGCTGTATCTAGTGTTATTTTTGTTCCACAAAAGTCCCTGTGCTCATTAAAAAGCCTATGACAAGCAATAACAAAGACAAATACAGACACTAGATGCTGCACATTATCTTAATAATTAACGACTAGTGCAGAGAATTGAAGAGATCAGAATGTCTGGCACACTGTGTTTTAGGTGCACACAACACTGAATGTAACCAAGGAAATGTGGACTTTGGATTTGGCTTTGCAGATAGTGGAAGTGAAGAAGGTATCAATTTTAAATGGTTTTAAATCAAACTGGTATTCTACGGGTACACATAGAGTCTCTTACTGATTTGGGGTAAATTCCACTTATTAATATTTTTAAACAAAAGCTTTGAAGTGGATTATTGAGCACAACATTTTTGCTTATGAAAACAGAAATAATAAAAATCGGCTATAAGAATGAAAAAAAAAACAAATCTTGGTGTGAGGATGGAAGAAAACTTGAACTGTATAATGTTAGAGTCTGGCCACATTTGGGGGCTAGAAGACATGGTAAAATATTCTGCAAATGTTAAGTATTCACTATGAGAACAAAAGAGTTTTGGCTAAGATCCTCAGCTGGTTGGAACCATACCAATTTACATCAGCTAAGAATCTGCCTCTTTCTTTTTTTGGCTGCAAAAATGTGTGTGGTAAACAGATGCTCCTGCCCTGTAAACTAATTTGGCAGACAACCGTCTCTGGACTGGCAACAAAATCAGCAAAGTTGGCCCATTACTTCCTACAAAATCTCACTGGACCCATATTACTGCTCAAATGATTAAGCATACAGGCAGCTTCTATTGCATCTTCTTAAAAAATAAAAGAAAGAAAACCAAGGTAACAGCATGCAAACACTTATATTAAGATATCACACTTAAAATATCACCCAAGGCAAGGTTATTGAACTGAATTCCAGATAGGCTGCCCTGTCTAGGAAAGGTACTTGACACTGCTGACATATCATCACTAAGTAGAGCAATCGGGAGCCATCCATTCTGACTGGCTCTCAGCTACTAGTCCAAACTCATGGAACAATGGATTTTCTACATAGAGGCACCAGCACAGCCAGTAGATCTGCAATTTCTCAGGCTGGGCACATGGCAACAGGAAGACGACTGTGTTTACAAATAGCTGCTGTTTGAAGTAAGAGGGCACACTACTGCTACATGTAAGTCAGACATGCAGGAGAGTGAGAAAACAGGAGAGAATATGCCCAGCATGAATGCTGACAAACTTTGATTAAACAAAAAAACATGAAACTGGAAGGTGAGTGCATCTCAATCCTGTTTTTTGTTTTCCAAGATCTGTAATTTTCTAATGCTTTCTAGTGTTAAAAGACTGTAGTTAAGAAATTCCTCTTTAAGTCTAATAGGGTATGTCTACACTACCCCGCTAGTTCGAACTAGCGGGGTAATGTAGGCATACCGCAATTGCAAATGAAGCCGGGGATTTGAATTTCCCGGGCTTCATTTGCATAAGCGGGGCGCCGCCATTTTTAAACCCCCGCTCGTTCGAACCCCGTGCCGCGCGGCTACACGCGGCACGAACTAGGTAGTTCGAACTAGGTTTCCTAGTTCGAACTACCGTTACTCCTCGTGGAATGTAGACATACCCATAGAGATGTAGCCGTGTTAGTCTGGTCTACCTGAAACAAAAGATAGGACTATGCAGCACTTTAAGCCTGTGCTCCTTGCTTACCTGAGGTCTCATCTGGTAGTATACCATAGAGATTCAGAGCTAGAAACAGTAAGTAGACACTACCTAGTCCCAGTGGGCTTAGAAGTATATTGGACCCAGCAGTTAGGTTCATTCACAACAATTTGACACCCGTATCATGTGTTTCTAGGCCAGATGGTGCCATTTAGTATTTTATATTTTTCTTTTTCTTGTTAAATAAGTACGGGTACATCTACGCTGCTGGACAAAGTTGAGTTAAGATATGCAACTTCAGCTACATTAATTGCGTATCTGAAGTCGAAATAGCTTAACTTGACTTTAGACCAGGGCTACTCAACATGTGGCCCATGGGCCGCATACAGCCTGCGGCCTGTTTGTTTGCAGCCCGTGGTGCAGTTTGGATTTATGTGGGGCTCAACACCTGGCCCGCGGATGGGAACCAAAACAAAAGCAGTCAATATAATGGTCTTCTATTGATATGCATTTTAGTAGTTAAATTCTTGGACTGCCATTGCTTATTAAAAGTGATATCACATAGGTGGAAATCGGGTAAATATTGCATTTTATTAATATCAGCAGAACTGACTTGTGTGTTGTGTGGTCTTGACTGTGTGTTGTGTAGTCTTGCCTTAATCTTTGTACTGAAGCCTGTCAGTGTGAAAGCTATTTGCATATATTTGCATATATATGCAACCATACTTAAGTTGCGGCCCTCAACATGTATTATGAGTGTATCATTGTGGCCCCCGGGGCTTCCAAAGTTGAGTAGCCCTGCTTTAGACGCTGTCTACACAGCAGGAAGTCGAAGGAAGAACACTCTTCCTTCGACTTCCCCTACTCCTCATGAAATAAGGGTTACAGAAGTCAGAGTTAGAAGCCAGTTAGCTCGAAATTATTTCGGAATAATGGGCTTGCTGTGTAGGTTCGTACTCTGTTATTTCGAAATAACGCGAGTTATTTCAAAATAAGCATGTAGTATAGGCATAGTTTAAGTGAATATACCTAAAGTCCAAGAAATGTGAATCAAGAAGACTACTGCCAATGCTAGATGCTACAGGGGGAGTATACATTCATAGCAGATTAATGAAAAGAATATGGTTCATTTAAATGTTACCCTTGGAATCTTAATTTTTGCACTCTCGGACTTTTTTATTTTAATGTTACAAGATTCATGTTGCATTAATGTGCCTTTGTGTGTGTAATTTACATTTTTAATATCTACCTCACAGGTCCAGGGGTCCATATTTCAAGGAGGGCACTTTGCTCACACTACTTACATTATGCAAAGAGCAAGGAATTGTTATGAAGCCAATGAATCTACTCACATGTTTTTCAGAGAACTCATCTATCTCCTGCAGCAGTCTCTCTTGGCACTCTGGGTTGGTGGCTAGCAAGTAGGTGGCGAAGGACAGGGCATTGGTGGTGGTCTCATAGCCAGCAATCAGGAAGATGAAGGCTTGGCCTACTATCTCATCTTCAGACAATGTCGTGTGAACCTTTTTAGGCAGGGCCTTGTCAGCAGGAGGCTTTTGGTCCTGAATGGAAACATCAGCTTGGTTGACTATGTCAAAGTGTTCCACCCCGACGTAGCTAGTAGAACTGCGAGCATCGAGCATCAACTGGAGAAAGTCTCTGCGTCTCTGTGAATTGCAAGATGAAAACATACACTAAGAATGAGCCAAAGTACTAACTATCCAGAGGTGTTAAAAAATGACCGTGGGTGCCCAACTTCAGACACATTAAAGGGATCTTGCTTCCAGAGGGTGGATATTTATCGTTTTCTGATAGCAGTTATAATGGCATGTCTTATCTGACCTGCACCTGTACATCTGGATTAGCCAGTGAGTATGCATGTATGTGGTAGTGAGAGGACAGGGATGGGATGGAGGCATAAAATATGCTCATTCCCAACCTACCTGCTTTGAGAACACAGTAAGCAGGCATGTTGCTCCACTTATCCACATATGCCTACACCTAAAGTCCAGATAGCCCAACTAAGTTTGTATAGAAGAGTCAGCCTATGTAGCCACTCAAGAGCATAGTAAGCCACCATTTAGTTTTCGGGGCAGATCGACCTTACAATTGTTGCATCAATTTAACTACACGGGTTGTGCAACCCTTAAGGGTGGACTCAGTTTTAATGGCATAAAAGTAATATAACGAACTTTGGTAATAAGCTACATCACTCTAGGCACCTTCATATAAGTACAAAACCTGTTTATGCGTCTCGTTCATGCAAAATGCTTGTTGAATCTTTTATTAAAGCTGCCTTTTTGTGTCAGTTTGTGCCAGAAAATATGTCACAAGAACAGAACTCTGCACAAGAGTGAGTTGACTCCAATTCAGCTTGGACAGCAAATTTGGTGGGGATTTTAAATGTAGCTCAAAAGGTTTGGATTGACTTTTGAGAGCAATATATAAAATTGTTGTGCTGAACCTAAGCCCTGAGGCCATGAGATTCATTTTCAGTTCCACAAATGCCAACATAATATATCAGAGCATAGAAGGGACCCAGGAGTGACTGCAATGCCAAGATCTGACATGTTACAGACTTAAAAGGAAAAGCACAGATCAAGTATTTCTTCAAAAGAATTAAACTGGCATTTATTTATTAATTAAAGAATGAACAAAAATATTTTGAATGTTCTTGCATCAGATGACACAGATAAAGAAGAAACCAGAGAATGGACAGGCACACAAGAAAAGGGAACGGAAGACACAATTAATTAAAGGACTTAATCAGATAATATTTTTTCCATGACATGGGAACTAGGAGCAGCGAGAGAAAGAGGAGAAATAGTTTATGTCCTGTGCTCTAGTTCTGCTGCTGGCAAACTGCAGAGAGAAACTAAAATTCAGTGTTTGGGTAAAGCCAGGGGGTAGCATGGAATCTCTCTTGTGAATCTCAGCCTACCAAATGAAAGCTTGTAAATACACATATGAATCGGGTGCGCCTGGAAGCAAGAGGCTGATTGTAGTGGCCAGTGCCAGTTATAGTACAGGCAGTCCCTGGGTTACGTACAAGATAGGGACTGTAGGTTTGTTCTTAAGTTGAATCTGTATGTAAGTCGGAACTGGTGTCCAGATTCAGCCGCTGCTGAAACTGATCAGTTTCAACAGTGGCTAAATCTGGACACCAGTTCCGACTTACATACAGATTCAACTTAAGAACCCCAGGCATCCCCAAGTCAGCTGCTGCTGAAAC